TACGGAATGAATTGGAATTTTTTAACTGCCTGACTGTTGCACATGGGATGATTTCATTATAAATTTGCAATGGTATGACATTTATGTTCTTAACAAAATGTGTTTTCTTTTTCCAGGTTGTGTAGTTTGGGATCAGATTTATCAGACATATTGCTTGTAGGACACTGACGGCAGAAACTTGAAATTTAGTGTGGAGTGCTACCTTATTGGCAACACTTAAACCTGAATTTCGAATATCGTTGTGGATACCGTATTCTTTTTTTTCATTCATTTATATATTTTCAAAATTTTCCTACAAGATGAACGTTCACCTACAAATGAGTATGAGGATAGGTAATGGAACTGTTGTAAACGATTATCCTTTTGATTTTATCCATATTACGTTTTATCTATTGCACAGAATGATTGTTTTTACAAAGTGTACCAGTATCCGGATGTTGAAAGCTATCCGATTTTCTGCAATTACTGCTGTCACATGGCCATCTAACTTTTTATGAACACTTTACCATTACTTTGCATGAGCCTGCAATTTTTCCATAATTTTGCTGTTTATGGTGTTCTTTTGGGTTTCAGGTTTTCTCTATTTTAAGGGGGAGTAACTCATGTTTGCAAATTATTTGTTCTTTTCTGTCTATCTTAGGTATTACTTTCTATTTTTGTTGTATAGAATTTACCAGTTGTAAGGTCATCAAAAGCATAGCGGCCCTGAGGAGTGAATATTGATATATATATATTTTTTTACTGGCTTTATATACCTTAGACTGGATTTAGTTAGTACATACCTACAGGTATTCTGCTACAGGAATCTTCTAATCACTATGTGGAACTAATTATTATTTTCTATGTGTTTGTATATAAATTGTTAATAAAATAACCCTTGGTAAAAATGAAAGGTAGAAAATGAAAGCTATACATATAGGTGCTCATGTCCATTATCTAAAACAGAGAAAGGAAAACATCCTGAAGTTATCAATTTACACTTGATATATATGCAATTAGTTTTATAGTTAAGTCAAATGGAAGGTTAAAAGAGGGACAGTATTTGTTACTGTAAGAGATATGCATTTAATGTTTAGACACTCACACAACTCAATCTTCATTATATGATATAGACTATTTGAGATTATTTTACTTATACATTATAGTTTTCTTTCTACAAGATTATGAATTCCATCCAAATTAAAATATTAAAATAGGATGTTATATTTAGTTTTAATGGAAACTGGGAATTATTAATGTAATGTGCATACATGTATATCTTACTATATGGATATAATGTGACTTACAATATTTCTGTATTTAAAGACTTACAGTTTTGATTGATGAGACTGGCATTTAAATTTATAAATGATAGGTGTTTTTACCCAGTGTTGGCTGGCTAATAATAGTACTATCTATAATAGAGTTTATACATTATAGTTTTCTTTCTACTAGATTTTGAATTCCATCCATTAGTACCAATGTTAATGTTAATGTTAGGATTTCATATTTATTTAATAGAAACTGCGAATTATTAATGTTATGTGCATGTATTTCTTAGTATATTGATATGATGAAAGACTTATAATATTTCTGTATTTAAAGAGTTACAGTTATGACATTATTATTAAAGGGATGACACTTTCATTTAAAGTTATAAATGATAATACATGTATTGATTGAAAATGTCCTTAAACTTGGATCCAGCAAAATAATTAATAAAGTCTCAAAAAATCATATTCTGAATAGTTATTGTAATTTTTTCTTACACGTAAATAGTTTGAAAAAAAAAACCAGCTTCTGTCTTATCTATTTGTAATGGATGGACACCTGTCTCAACCTCCAGGTCTCCAGAGTCAACCCGACAACAGACTTTCATAGAGAAGATTGTTACTTGCCTTTGAATAAATTTGTGCAGTAAATTTTATATTGGGTGATTTGTGCCACATGAAAACCAACAAAGTACAAAAGTAACCGGGCGCCAGATGAAAACATGAAAGTGGTTCCTTTGTTGTATTTTCATGTTTTCGCCGGGTGCTCCTGATGCAAAATACAAATCAGCCTTCATAAAATTTCTTATTATAGAAAAAAATTTAGTTTTTTATCTGAACAAAAAATTAGATATTGTACATGTATTAGTTCAGTTATGTTCACTTTCAAATTGACCTGTTATAAATAATGGCACAACAAATAACTGTCTAAGCCCTTTTTAGCAAAAATAATTATATATTATATAAATTGTTATTTTGATTAAGACTATGAGTATTTAAGTTTGTTTTCTTATTTGTTTAATTAAGAATTAATTTACCTGTTAATTAAAAAATCTAAAAGTATCTGTCACGATTTAGAACTGTTCACTATTTAGGGGAGAAATTGTGTAAGCGGCTCAGTCGCTACAGCCGCGGTACATTATTCTGTGGGTCACAGGTTCAAGTTCTGGTCAAGCTGAAAGTTTTTCTCATCCTGTGACTGCATATAACCCTGAGTTTAATTCTCTATGCTCTGTAAACATCAGAAATTCAAGGACACAAATCAATATAGTGGGGAAATATGTTGTGGTTTAGAACTGTTTCATTATTAAAGAGAAAATGTGTAGCTAGCGGGTCCATCATAGCTCAGTCGGTCTTCTGACAGTTATAGGTTCGAGTCATGGCCAGGCAGTTTCAGTAAGGGTTTAGAAGTGGTTTTTCAACTGACACATGTTTGATTCATTTAACAGATTGCATAAATTTGAAATGGACAAAGGCAGTATTGCATGATACTTTTAGAACAAAAGGCATTTGATACAGTTGATCACACTATACTGCACATAAAGAAGCTCTTCTTCTTCTTCACGAAACTTCAAGCATCTGCCATAAGAAATGACATTCTTACATGGTTCAAGTCTTATCTCAGATGGATGTGGCTGGTACTCATTCTACTACTGCTCCGAGTACCTATGGTGTCCCCCTGAGGTTCATTTTAGGTCCTCTTTTATGTCTAATATATGTCAATGACATGTCTGCAACCCTAAGCAATAAGCTTTTATTATATGCCGATGACTCAGGTATCCTTGTATCTGATAAAATAAATCTGAAGAAATTCTCTCTTATGGCACGAGTCTCATAAGATTGGTTAATTGACTATAAATTGTCTTTGCATCTTGGCAAGACAGAGTCTAATCTTTTTGGTTCAAGTTTCATTTTAAACTGGGCCACATGTAATGGTACTGCTTTAAAGTACGCATCTTTTGTTAAGTATTTAGGTGCAAAACTTGATCAAATTTTTGGCGTCGCCTTTGATGCTTTGCATCAATGCTTTTCTTGTTTTAGTATATAAAAGCAATATCGGTGACAAATTTTCACCTTCACGGATTTCAGTATGACTACTAAAACTGTCACAATTTATTATTAACTTTAAAACATGACTTTGCTTTATAATACATATTATAGATAATCTTACTTTCCGACAAAAATGATGATATTTTGAATGATGTTAAACATCGTCAATAGTTTACTATAACCACGGCTTTAATTCAAGTACTACACAACGTATTTCGATGGGTTTCAAGTTTACAAATTATTATCAAATATCACAAATTTTATAATTTTCAGCCGTCAAGACATGTTTTAAGGTTCGATGCATTGTGTTTATTAAATTTTATTGTAGTTTTTCTAGATGACTTCGTGTATAGACTAATTTGGCTATAACTGTTAAAAATAAACAATATCTTATAGTTTTATATACATAACTCTGTGAAAAAGAAGAAGAATTTATCTAAGTGTTTTTAAATCTTATCTAAGTATGCTTACTAGCGCTTATCTTTAATGTGTTCTGTTTTCCAAAACCATAATATATCGATGTGACTGTCTTACGCCAGTGAAAACATAATACCCTTCCAAAGTTATTCTTACTTTTGTTTTAGTTAAAACATTTCAAATATAAAGTCTTAAACATTAAGATACTTCAAAATGCTTTAAAAGGACCAACATACAGCTTCTTATTGCCCTCCATTTGTATTTTTAGGAAAGACTTCTCACAATTCTTGTTGTAATACAGCTCTTCTTTAAATATTTGTTATTTCAAAAATCTCATTAAAATCATATCCTATCTGTCGCTTCACTACCCTACGCTTGAAGCGAAGAGTAACGGAACGAAAATGATGATCTGATCTTAATGAGATTGCTTTTTCATTATATTCTTTTTGATACTTAAAAGGTTGAAGACATTGAAATTTATTTGGATTGAATAAACACTAGTTGATTGCTTTAGAAGCAGCAAGGATAATTGTTTTTTCTCCTCAGCATTTAGCACATATTTGCCTGCCTTTCTCTTAAAAATAATAAATATGAACTCAGGCCTGTCAGTTGTTAGAAAAGAGACGTATTGTTATTTTCTTGTTTAAATTTTTTGTTTTATAAAAAAACTTTCGACCTTTTTCGATCAAGAATATTAATAGTGAAATGTAAAAAATTTGCAGCAAACAATATTGAGGCTGGACAGACTTAATGAGTGTTTTAGTAAGTTTGGTTCTATACCCATCTCAGTGTTATAATATTTGTCTGGTTTCCCTGTATTATTGATACTAATACGATTACTTTCTGTGTTGAGGATTGAACGCCGCTAAAGCTGGTTCTACCGATGTGTTCTTTTAAATAATTTTTTAAGCGTAGGCGTAATAAAACAGAGTATGCGATTTTTAACTATTCGTTTTGCACTTCTCGCTCTCAGACAACAGCAGGCCCTTGACAGATTTTAAAACTATTTTTGGTTTACAATTAAACTATATTAACGCGTTTTTTATGCAATCCTAGTAATTCACGTATTGGTTAATGGTTATACGTCTGTTATATGAAACTCATATTAATAATCAGATGATTCGGTTGAAATAACCCGGAATAAGTTTAACACTTGGCCGGAGTCTATGTGTACGTGATTAGGGTATAACACAAAACACGGAAGCAAGCATCTTGCGACACTGTGGGTTTTTGTCACTTTCGAACAAGTCTTCTGTCTTAAAACATAAACTTCTCTACATCTTCAATTTTTTTTTATTCAAAAAACATTTTTAGACATAAGAAAATACAATTAAATTAACATAATACAACAAAACTGTTTCATGCAATGCAGATAAATACTAGTGTTTATATTACTTATAATGTATAAATCTGAAAATAGGGCGCTTTCTTTTGTACTCTCTGCTATATATTTAATATCAAGGTCAGTAAATATATGTAAAGTAAAAGTTTGAACATGCTCATCATTTATTATTTCCATACCACGGATTGTGCTGACCATGATCCCACGGCGCGGACAAATCATGATCTACACTGGTTGCATGGCTAGATTTAGTTGTCATCAGCGGGGTAAATAGTTTATGCACTAATTTATTTACCCATATGCAGACCGATTCGCATTCTAATGAAAATATAATATATAATAAGTCCAATTAAACTCATATCTTATCGAATAGAAATATTTTTATTATCTCATGTGGTTAAAATGTATCTAGTCTTCATCAGGAGATTGTTCATTATGAATTATTTCCATTTCATGTTCATTTTGTATCAGTTTTCTAGTTTTTGAAAAATATAATATAGCAGCTCCGAGGACCATTCCAGGGATTAAAGCACCGAACGCAACAGCTGCCATGGAACCTGTAAATTAATGCATACAATTTTAAAATTTCGAATAAATAATGCCAAACCAAACATAAATATTGCCATCAAGAGTGTTGGTTTTTATAGATGATTTACTAAGAGTATGATAGCAATATTTAAATCATTGACAATAGGAAAAAACTCCTTCTAGCGAAAATTACGCAGACAAAATGATATTCTTGTGCCATTTGACATACTTTTGACTTCGTAATAATAAACTAAAAATGTGTCCATAGGACACGGATGCCCCCACACGCCACTGTTCTGTCAATCTTATGACTCTAGGTCAAATATTTTTTGGACTACATGTGCCACAAGTTGAAAACTAAAAATCAACAAAGGTCCATAATTCTGTTAAATTTGGTCGCAGCGAAAATTCCTTCCTTTACTACCATCTACATATTAAGGTTGTTCATCCCTGGAAGTTTAAGCAAAATCTGCCATCCGGTTTAAGAGGAGTTGCGTTCACAAAATTTCTACATAGTATATAGTGAAAAAATAAAAAAAGGGCCATAATTCTGTTAAATTTGGTCGCAGCGAAAATTCCTTCCTTTACTACCATCTACACATTAAGGTTGTTCATCCCTGTAAGTTTAAGCAAAATCTGCCACCCGGTTTAAGAGGAGTTGCGTTCGCAAGATTTCGGGACGTACGGACACAGACGGACGGACGGACAAGTGCAACGCTATATGCTCACATATTGTGGGGGCATAAAAAAATAAACTTATTTTCAATATTATTATGAAAAGCAGCGAACTTGTGTTATCTTGCATGTATGGTTAAAAACTCCATATACCATGGTTATTAAATTAACTTTGATAGAATTGTTACAATTTTCCTTTTAAGTATAGAATTATAGGTCCAAATAAAAAGTTCACAGTACCTGAACTAAATCCATTCTGTATTTGTGCTGATGCAACATTTGATGATGGACCGACATATGATAAATGCCCTGTTATAAAGAACAAAATTATATAACCGATATTTCACAAACATAGGACGTAATTAAAAGTGAATATAGTTCATTTTGTGAGTACTTTAAATTGTGTGAACAGAGACCAGCTTATTGTATACAATATGAAGTGCACAATGAGAAATGTAAACCACACAAGACGTATTCAGTAAGAAGTGATCTCTGTGTAAGTACTGCTCACTTAGTAGTGTTTTCTGTGCGAGAAGTGCTCAGTAAGTGTTCTCTGTGTGAGTAATGATCAGAAAGTATAGTTGTCTCTTGTTGAGTAGTGATCAATGTGTAAGCTGATAAGTGAGTAATATTCAATGTGTATGTAGTGCTCAGTGTGTAATGTGCTGTGTTTGAGAAAAGCTTAGTATGAAATGGGTGCACTATGTGAGTAATGCTCAGTTAGTGGTATTAACTTTATGAGTAGTACTCAATGTGTAATGTGCACTGTGTCAGTAATGTTTGGTGTGCAATGCGCACTGGCACTGTTTGAGAAATAGTTCATGAGTAATGTTAACTATGTAATGATTATTGTGTATGTTTATAGTGTGGATACATTTCAGTGAGTAATCTTCACAGTTTGTGTTTTTAAGCTCAATTTGTTCAATTTACTATTCGAGTACTGCTGTGAGTAATGTTATATTTTTTTCATGTTGGGTAGACTCAATGATTATATAATTTTTAAGTAGTGATAACTGAGTATGTTTATACTGTCCAGTGTGCTGTGTCCATGTAATGACTGAGTTTTCGGATGCAGTTGTTTGAAATGCTTGAGTTGTGATTATAATAATTTTGAAGCAAATCAAGGAATAACTCAATACCAACAAGGAACAACTAGTTGGTTAACGTTAAATGTTTTGTAAATCGCTATTACAAGGGCCCTCTATTATGTTCCATTTTTTGTCAGAAAAAGTGTGTAGTAAATTAGGTAGAGTGAAGCTTGCGACCCTTTGACTTGTAGTTAGACTTTGTAACATCTACACCAAAGCGCCCGTTCTGATTCAGATTAACTTTCAAAGTTACTATATTTATTATCTTATTACAAATTGTTATGTAACTGAATGTTGACCCTTTTTCAGCTGTCAAAGCTGAAAAGTCAAGCATTTTCAAACGTTTTGTAAAAAAACGAAACAAGCAAGACTTTTGCCAAGCAATTGAATTCCCAACCGAAAAGGCTTTCTTTTTAGACGAAATTAGGTGAAAAATAATATATATGTTTCTAGTATTCTTATCATATGACTTAGGAGAAATGTGCGAACAGGGATTTTTTTTGTAATACAGATAACCGTTTTTCTGACCAAAAAAGAAACTGGTTACAAGTCGGTAAAATATTTCATATATATAAATATATATAAATGAAGGAGAATGGCCATTAAAATGTTCCAGGTATGCACCTTTTCTGAACAAATAACAATAAATGTTTATAAATTTGCAACCATAGAATTTGTATGAATTTTACACACTGAAGCATGAATATTTTCTATATATATTATACTCACTCGTGTAAGTGTCGCACACGGCGTTCGATGATATCTGAGATTGCACGTTTCTATTATTTACAGAAAATATATTGCAAGTACTATGTCCACAAAACATGAATGATCTACATGTCAATCCGTAGTCATCTACGCAAAGTTTAGCACAGTCGTCTACGCTTGTATTTGAAAAGAAAACAGTAGGTCCATAGGGCAAATGTTTGTCTGGTGATATTATAAAATCAAACAAATATTTTCCTGAAGAAAAAAAAGAGAATAGTACCGGTATGTGCATTATAAGAAATTTATGCTTCCAAATTACAAAAAGGACAAATGAAACAAATTAAACATAACAATGTATACACTAATTGAAGTCTGCATTAACTGTCTGATATTGTTTTTACCTTTTCATTAGAAGGAATCAGAGAGTAACGCTATTTACCAGAGATATAAAATGTAGCTTTCTTATAACGGTAAACTAAAACTAATACATTGTGTTTTTTGTTCCCACGAAAGTATCTGAATACCAAATTGAAAGTAAATGTTACTATCAAAGGTGGCGAATGTTTGAAAATTTCGCTAAAATACTGAAAATTGGCAAGTGAATATTTTGTTAGTAACAGTTTCATGTGCGTTGAATAAAAATAAACATATTTGCTAGAATTATCTCGAAATATGACCATTAGAATATGAATTAAATAATAATAATAATAATAAGTATAAAACCACGTGAAATTGTAGTTAAGCATACGCTTAAAACCCTTTAATGTTAAACACATCCACTTACGACAAACCCTACTCTACAATATATATGGATACTCACTTGAATAGTGATAGCAAGAAGAATCTGCAGTAGATGAAGACACAGATGTTGTTATCTTTCGATCACGTGACAAATAACAGGATTTTGTACTTTCACAGAAGTCAAATGAATTACATGTATTGTTCCCACTTTTATAACATTTTTGAGCGCATGTATCCGGGTTTCCAACATTTGATTGTTTCACGACGTTTCCAAGATTTGAGATCGTGCCCTTTGAGAGGATGTATCTGTCTAAATATTTCCCTGTAATGTAATGTATCGGTCTAATTATTTCCCTGTTATGAACTGTAATGTATCAGTATAAATATGTCTCTGTTATGTTTAAAGCAATATATTAGTACATGTCCGCGCATAGTAAACTGCTTTAATCAATATACATGTCTAAGTACTTTCCTGGAATGTATTGAACAGTTTAAAACAATTACATATCTGGAATGAAATGAACAGTTAAAAACAATTACATGTCTAAATACTTTCCTGGAATACAATGAAACAACTTAAAACAGTTATATGTCTAAATAGATTCATGGAATGTACTGAAGAGTTAAAAACCCTATATATGTCTAAATTCTTTCTTGTAATGTAATTAAATGCAATTATAAAAGTGTTTTAGACAAAATGCCTGTCTTAGTTTTCTAACTAAAGTTTTTTTTTTTTAAATGGAATATCTTAGTACTTTACTGCAATAAGTAGTATAGGCGTCGGTACCAACGCCTTTACTACTGCAATATGATATACTGATTTAAATAATATGCGTATCTTAGTACTTTACTAACACTGTGCCTGCCTAAGACTATGCCTATTTACCATACTGTTTGAAACAAAATGTCTGTCTAAGTACTTTTATATTACTGAATTTTAAATCTTTTGCCGGGTCAAGCCGTTGCTTCATTAAAGTTACATTAAATAAATATGTAAAAATATTTTGACATCGGCCTAATAACCAAGCATTTTATTGTTTTATTAACCTTTTTAACAGTATTGTTGAAAATCTCATCAAATATTGTTCATAAATTGCGATTTTAAACGGAAAACCCCACGGTAACACTAAAGTTCGTATACGAATTTTAACATGCAAATGAGGACTTTAATCAGTTCATGTATGTGCTACGTCACAGTGTTATAGTTGCTATACAGAACACTTTAACCGTTTTAGCTTCACGGTGCACTTGGCATGGCTTTCAGAAAAGAGGAATCATCTCACAAAAAAAAAAATTTTTTATGAAAACAACCGTTACAATGCGTAAATATACCGTTATATTAGGACTGCTACTTATAACAATGTTTGTTGATTTAATATTGATGTACGGATGACCCGAAGGCGGAGTTTCTCATGCAAATTCCGATTTCGCCACAATGAGGTCGCAGATGTTTATGCTTATAAAACTCATTGGTTGGTTGCCTTGACACCATAATAAGATCTGGAGTCGATATAAAACCAAATTAACTAATGAAATGTCGCTATTTCTGTTTTTAAGAAATTTATTTAATGTAGCTTTAAAAAGAAATTTTACAATCAATACGGGTTGGTACAAGCTTTAAATCGGACTTTTATAAATCCTGCTTAGTACAGAGCTTAGTCAAAATGTACATAGGTGTCGGCTAGACTACACCTATTACGGCTGCAAAGACTAGACAAGCTTATTAAACAAAATGATGTGAATGAAATATTTAGGAAAGGTAATTGATAAAATATTTGAACTTTTAACGTGGATTTTATTGGGACAATTATGAAGTATATAATAATCTATATGCACGGTTGTTGCAAATATTAATTATCTTATTACATTATTATAATCATCATCATCATCATTAATATTATTATAATATGTTATTAGTTTTAATATTAAAAAAAAACAACAATTGCATGATGATATAATTTTGTGACAGAAATATCTCGTGCTATGACAATTGGGCTATTTACAGCTAGTCCAACATCTTTTTGGCGTCCGCGCCGAAGCGCGGCGCCCTTTATGGAATGAAATCAGATTTTGTGAAAGGGCGACAGCAACTTCTCGAGCCTTTTAGTCGGTCATAATAAAAGCCGATCATTCCGATCGGTATGAGGGTGCTCGATTATTATTAATTAAAAATGAAATGTCGCGATATGTACAATGAATAGCGAACTGGAGAATTTCGCAATGCAAACATTTTCAAATGAAATAACCTTCCCCGTCTCTTCGGGTTTTTTATTTATCATTTTGTAGTACACAGTGGGTTATTATGGTATGTTAAAATAGAACAAGAAAAGTATTGATGCAAAGCATCAAAGGGCGTCCAAGCAAGAAATGCAGAAAGTGAAGATGAACTAGTAGACATATGCTGTCAAGATATTCTTATAAACTTTTCAATGGTTAATTGGTTTTTACCAAAATGAACGGACGGAAGACATTGTTCATTATGAACTTTGATTGGCATGCTAGAGATTAGAATATTACTTGTTATTTCTTTATGATCGTGATTATTAATAGCAACGGATATACATGTATACAATCATTTATAATCCATACCCATGTGTAACGCATGATCAACACCACACTTGTGGAATTGTCCCTTATTATGCAATCGCTATTAGCGAAGACCCCCTCTTAAGGTATCTGTTCACACTTAGTAAAAATATGACACTGGTTATATTACCATGTCATGTTGAGCATTATTGTTTATTATACAATAATTGTAATATTTATTTTAATAACAAAATAAGAATTCAAATGTCATATTGACCGACGATTATAAGTCAAAACTTAACTGGAAAAAGTCAGTAAATTATGGTTAATCTTTCAATATATAATATTGTTTATTCTTAAACCATGTACATGTACATTTGTATTTTTCTTTATCATTTTTTAAATTATCAATCAATTAAATAATTAATAAAATCTAATTTGTAACTTTGAATAATTCCTCGGCATCTTTACTAAACACGAATAACAAATTAAATAAAATGTTTCAAAGTTGATAGTGTCATATTAAAACCACAAAAATGTACCCTTTTTTCACAATTATTGTACATATTTATTGTTTTTATCTCATATAGATAAAATGAAACATGCTATTGTTGTTTTTTTTTTCGAATTGTATGTTTATGTATAATAATAATCAATAAATTTGAGAGTTGATCTATGTTTATTAATTATTGTAACCAAACTAAGTGACAAACATTCATTTTGGAAAAAAAGCTTATTTATCTGTAAAATATTTGTTCTGTTCTGTAACGATATCAAACATCTACTCCAAAACCGTGAGAGACCGGACAATAAACGTCGGTCACTAGTATCACGGTCAAAATAGACCGGGAGAGACCGGAATAACTGATAGGAGTACATCCCTCTATAAATAGATTTTCGGAATATTTAGGTCATCAACTCATCATTCTATTTTAACATACCATGATAACCCACTGTGTACTACAAAATGATAAATAAAAAACCGAAGAGACGGAGAAGGTTATTGCATTTGAAAATGTTTGCATTGCGAAATCCTCCAGTTCGCTATTCATTGTACATATCGCGACATTTCATTTTTAATTAATAATAATCAAGCACCCTCATACCGATCGGAATGATCGGCTTTTATTATGACCGACTAAAAGGCTCGAGAAGTTGCTGTCGCCCTTTCACAAAATCTGATTTCATTCCATAAAGGGGCGCCGCGCTTCGGCGCGGACGCCAATGATGAGTTGATGACCTAAATTTTACATTCCGAAAATCTATTTATAGAGGGATGTACTCCTATCGGTAATTCCCGGTCTCTACCGGTCTATTTTGACCGGGTTTTACTAGTGACCGGCGAATAGTATCACACGTTTATTGTCCAGTCTCTCCCGGTTTTGAATAGATGTTTGATATCGTTACAGAACAGAACAAATATTTTACAGATAAATAAGCTTTTTTCCAAAATGAATGTTTGTCACTTAGTTTGGTTACAATAATTAATAAACATAGATCAACTATCAAATTTATTGATTATTATAATACATAAACATACAATTCGAAAAAAAACAAAAAAAAACAAAAACAATAGCATGTTTCATTTTATCTATATGAGATAAAAACAATAAATATGTACAATAATTGACAAAAAGGTACATTTTTATGGCATTAATATGACACAATCAACTTTGAAACATTTTATTTAATTTGTTATTCGTGTTTAGTAAAGATGCCGAGGAATTATTCAAAGTTACAAATTAGATTTTATGAATTACTTAATTGATTGATAATTAAAAAAAAAGATAATTAAAAGAAAATTACAAATATACATCTACATGGTTTAAGAATAAACAATATCATATATTGAAAGATTAACCATAATTTACTGACTTTTTCCAGTTAAGTTTTGACTTTTAATCGTCGGTCAATATGACAATTGAATTCTTAAAATTTATTTTACAATTTTAATAATAAAAAAAGAGTAGTAAACGTAAAAAAACTCAGTATTGAAATAGCACATAAAGCACAAAAAAGATGAAAACAATATTCATAAAATCTGTATTTTTATATTAAAATAGATATTACAATATCGTATAATAAACAATTATGCTCAACATGATCAACATGGTAATATAACCAGTGTCATATTTTGTGAACAGATACCTTAAGAGGGGGGTCTTAAATTCGCTTATAGCGATAACATAATAAGGAACAATTCCACAAGTGTGGTGTTGATCATGCATTACACATATGGATTATAAATGATTGTATACATGTATATCCGTTGCTATTAATAATCACGATCATAAAGAAATAACAAGTAATATTCTAATCTCTAGCATGCCAATCAAAGTTCATAATGAACAATGTCTTTCGTCCGTTCATTCTGGTAAAAACCAATTAACCATTGAAAAGTTTATAAGAATATCTTTTCATCATATGTCTATTAGTTCATCTTCACTTTCTGCATTTCTTGCTTGGACGCCCTGTGATGCTTTGCATCAATGCTTTCCTTGTACTATTTGTAATAATATTATTGTACGACATATAACAAGAGTGGCGATGCTGCGTATTTTCTCCTGAGAATAAATAAAACTACCTTTCGTGTCTAATTTTCATTTTATCTCTGAAGTAACTGATATAAATTGGCGCATTTATGTATGTATCTATCGTTTAGCATCGTTACAAAACAGCATTTATATATAAATATCGATCCGATTGTCTACAGAGTGTCACCGCTTGTATTTTTTATACAATAACACCAATGGTGCTACGCGATCATTGTACGTAACACATCGACTTTTATATTCATTAACATGGTTATTATGTAATAGATTTGTGATTTTTATGAGCAATCCAGTAGTTTAATTGTCTATCTCAATCAATTGTTACTACAGTAAAACTTGTCAAGTCAAGTTATTTTTCGTTCTTTGTTTTGCACTGTTTTGTTTTCAAGGACACGAGCTATCTTTTTGATCTTCATATATTAACGATATGAACAATACGTACTCATCAAATGAGTGACTTTTCAGATTTAATTTCAATCTGATAATTAAGGGAAAAATAAACATTGTAAAGCACATTAATAATGTACATATAAACACTCATACTTCCTGTTATTTTCAAGAACGCAATTTCAAATTCACAGTTATAGGAAACGAATCATCTAAACATCATTGTTATGACTTTCTGTAATGATAAATCCTATGAATATTTCAAACTAGTATAATTGCTTTATGTAAAGCTATCTTAATTGATAATCAAAAATTGCCTTGTAATCTTCAAGTTTAAACATAACAAAAACATCAAATCTATTATGATGAACTTAAGAATTACATTAATTTCATAGTTTATCAAGTTGAATATTTTACTTTAATATTCACTCTGCTGCTGAAACATTAACATTTGTAACCAGTTGATATAGAGCCTGGCAAGTCTGCACAGGCTCTCAACAAATGAATCTTCTCATCCAAACATTTGATAATGAATAGTTCCAAAATATGGAAACTGGTCAAATTCAGGTTAAGTTGAAGAAAAATGTATCCTTCAATAGTGTGTGTGCTACATTTTATCCCCCATATATATTACATATACATCCGAATTATTCAAATATGAGAAGTATTTTTCTCTTTAATTGTAATTGAATTTGTTCAACAGAGACTCAGTTCAAGTTACGTTATTGATTTTCAAAGATTAAGCATAACAAAATGCATCAAAATGCACGATATTCCGCATCTCGTTCATGTATACAATAATACATGCAAAAACAATACTGTGCTATGGGTCTTCATTTCACGCATCGATTGCTATATGTTAAATCATGTTAAACGAACACTTGGATGATGAAACCTTTAGTACAAAGATATGTCTTCATCAAGACAAGAAGAAAAATTGTTTAATAGCCTAATTTTTTATAAATTTACATTTAATTACGAAAACATGGTTGAGTTTAACCACACAGTATGCTGATAAATCTCGCTTAAATTCAGATAATATTAACTTTTATGCCTTAAAATCCTGTGATTAAGGTAGATAAAACATTAAGCAAACATTCTGCATTTGTGAAATTATCTTTATACAAAGCCTATGCAAAGAATTTTGAAAAATACACACTTTTGAAAGCACATTTTAAGCGGTTTTGTACACATACATTGGTAAACGACCTTCCTTGTCTAATGCTCTCTATCACGTTCGCGCGCGTATCTATAAATAACCGAAGCAGTTTAAACCGAAAGTATCAGCTATTCATTCGCACTTCACAAGAGTAGTGTTCTTTTTGTTTCTAATAAAACAGTGGAATTTAAATATCTAAAATGGCGGATACTGCCGTTGAAAGTCCAGTTGTAGCCGAGGAAAATGATAGTGCTAAAACAGAGGAAGTTAAATCTCCTGCAAAAAGGGCGAGCAAAGGAAAAGCAGCAAAAACACCAAAAACAAAGGCTACCCCTAAGGGAAAGGCTGTGAGTGCTAACAAAAAACAGAAGAAAACTGTGTCAGACATGCATCCTAAATACAGTCAAATGATTAACGAATCTATTGCGGCGTTAAAAGAAAGGAATGGATCATCAAGACAGGCAATCCTTAAATATATAATGGCTAATTATAGTGTGCTCCCAGATGAAAAACTAGTGAACAATCACATTAAAATGTCAATCAGAGCTGGAATTAAAAGCGGAAAACTGAAACAAATCAAAGGATCTGGTGCTTGTGGTAAGTTGAAATTATTTCATAGTTTTCATAAAAAAAGTTTTCCTCTCTTGCACACAACATATATAATTAACTATAATTAAGATTTAAATTCATATGCGATAGAGGTACATTTTAATTAATATTTATATTCATGTAGATTTATAAACATGTATTATAATAAACTTCTAAACGTTGAAAGTTAAAATATGGTTTGCATTTCAGGTTCATACAAACTCGGTGACAAAGGCACTGAAAAGCCGTCCAAACCCAAAGCTGAAAAGGCGGCATCTCCGACCAAGAAAGCCAGCTTAACAAAGGTGAAGAAGCCAAAGGCTTCTTCGAAAAAATCAAAAGCACAGTCCAAAAAAGCAGTTAGTGGCAAAGCTAGTCCAAAGACTTCACCACAAAAAGCAAAAGCTTCTCCAAAGAAAACGACAAAGAAAACAAAAAGTCCAAAGAAAACAAAAGCGAAAAAAGCTGCAAAATCGCCTAGGAAATCCAAGAAAGCGGCTGCACCAGAAGAAAAGCAAGACACAGAGGATGTCCCAGCTACAGAAGCAGAAACGAATGAAAGTGACCAGTGATCTCCTGAGCGGAAAACATTTAGTCACAAGCTATAACGATGTAACACTTGGCGGTGTAAAAATAGCTACATGTTATTTTATTTTTGAATGTTGTGTTGTCAAAAATGATTTCTATTCGGTTTATTAGCAGGTACAACTATACAGGTTTCATGATAACATTTCTATGATAAGGGACTATAATTTTGAGAACTTACGTTGGAATAAATTATTTGGAGACAGATGAATGTGTTAATGATATCTAATTATCAATATTATCATTCATAGATCTTTTTTCAGTTGACGTTTACATTAATCGATTTTAAAGTATTCCATTTTTATTTGAATCAACTTACTTTCTTTAATATCATTTCATGTTCATTACTTGTATTATGTGTATATTGTTTTCCAAAATGTGTTCAAAATTTTCCCATTATTGTTGATATTATTTAGAATAAATGCGTAGCCACATGCAATGTAGATAAAACATGAAAGTTTTGTTATTCATACAATTAATGTCATTCTAAATTGTTATAATCCATCACAACTTTAAAGTTTTGTAGCTACATGCAATGTAGATAAAACATGAAAGTTTTGTTATTCATACAATTAATGTCATTCTCAATTTTTATAATCCATCACAACTTAAAAGTTTTGTAGCTACATGCAATGTAGATAAAACATGAAAGTTTTGTTATTCATACAATTAATGTCATTCTCAATTTTTATAATCCATCACAACTTAAAAGTTTTGTAGCTACATGCAATGTAGATAAAACATGAAAGTTTTGTTATTCATACAATTAATGTCATTCTCAATTTTTATAATCCATCACAACTTAAGAGTTTATTAAAATACACTTACTCGAATAAAGGTTACATATAGGACTGTCTTCAAACGCAGTTGTATTATCTCCAGGGTAAAGGTCGCTTATTAAACACAATCCCATTTCAGAACAATAAGAAAACGATTCACACTCGTATGCTGCATAAGTTAGACATTTTGTTGCACAGTCGTCTACACTGACCGGAAGGTAGCGAACCCATCTGGCTGATGGATTATTTCGTATATGAATTGCTCTCTTATCAATACGGTTAAAATGAGTTAATGTTTCACCTGTAAAAGCAAAGGAAGATAATCTTTTTTGATAAGAAATGAAAAGATAGAAATAAAAATTAGAAAGTACAAACGCACTTTCAGTATGACATATGATTTAGTGTTACCTAGATTACCAAGATTTAGTGTGGAGCGGCACAATGTAGACCAATTACCAATTTCAACAGTATTTTCCCTATGCAAGTCTCCACAATAAATGTAACCGAGCAAAAGTTTTCAGCGAGAACCAAAATCATTATCTCCAAATTGGTGTGTCACTACAAAGGTTGTTACAATACAATTTTAATGAACAAAAATAAAATGCACATTTGAGAGTGCATAATGCACATTTGAGAGTGCATAAATTCAGGCAATACGCAGTTTTGGTTAAGAAATGTTGGCAGTTCTTAAATTATTATAAACACGTGTGTATTGTTCAGACAAGGTTGTAGTTAGAATTGTAATGAACAAAAATAAAAGTGTATTTTAAGAGCGCATAAATTCTAGCATCATACAATGTTGGTTAAGACATGTTGGCATTGATTATGAAAACTTGTGTATTGTTAAGCCAAATTGTATATATATATGTACAGTACATTTATAAAATCTTCAGCGTGTACACTTACTGTTTTCCTTTCCGCTGTCATAACGAAATATATTCCTTGAAAAGTAAAGTGCCGAGTATTTGACCGTCTGAAAATGAACAATAATCTACCTTTAATCATGGATATCATTTCAAGTCTGAATCACACATATTGCTCTAGTCAGAGACGTATGCATGTGTATGTTACTATGCCGTACAAATGCGATTAACTGTATGAGCTTGAAATTCTTAAGCAGAATTATAAGTGATAATTTTGATTAGATTATACTTATGTTGCACATGAGTGTAGTTAAGTTGGATTTGCTCTGTGCAGACTTGGCGGTATAACTTGAAAATAGTTCTTATTCAAATAATCGAAACGTTAATTGTAGCTAAAATTTTAAGATAGATGAATCGCTGCACATCAAGTCGTATACCGTTTTTGTATCCACTTGGATGTTGACCACAAGATTACCGTGAGCTATCCTGTCTTGTAACATTGTAATTGCTTGATCTGTCGTAGGTTCTGGACTCGTCGATGATTCCACAGTTTCTGTAGGAAACCAAATCAAATTGAGGAAAACGGTAACCCCGAAGAACGCCCAAAGCGGCAAAAATGAAAAGGTTTCAGGCTGGGTTAGACTTAGCCTGTTCATGGACGGTATTTGTAATTGCAAGCTACAAGCCATGCCCTACTGCCAGCTTTAGCATAATTAAACATTTAAACATTAAAGAATGTCGCACAGACCTTCAATGTGACAGGTTCGTGCCATTCCATGAAAATGAAAAGCGACGTCATTAATTAAGATAATGCAAATATAATCTAATGACATCTTTTCTTGCTATGACTGTGTCTTTATTTTTGTATTGGAGTGCAGAGTCATGGTAATTCATAATTAAAATCATTAGTAAACAGGATCGGTAAAAACACACATTAATTGTTCACAATGTGCTAGTGAGGTGTTCAAGTGTAGCCAAATTTCTGTCTGTACGGTATTGGTGAGAACGATATTGATCATTTGAAATAGAACGGAATTTGTAAATGTTTGAGTTTAGTTTACAGAAATTAAGACTACAATGGTTGCAAAATGTTTCTTTGATTATGATTATGATTATGATAATTTGTCTTAATAGCATAATTATACCCCCACAAACGAAGTTTAGGGGGGGTATATAGGAGTCAGCTTGTCGGTCGGTCGGTCGGTCGGTTGGTCGGTCGGTCCGTCGGTCGGTCCACATCATGGTTTCCGGACGATAACTAGAGTTATGAATGAGGTATTGTTATCAAACTTGGTATATAGCAACCTTATGTGGAAAGTCCGGTTGGTATTGCATTTGGACCCTCTGGGGTCAAGGTCAAGGTCACCGTTACTAAAAATAGAAAAATGGTTTCCGGACAATAACTAGAGTTAGGAATGAGATATTGTTATCAAACTTGGCGTATAGCAAGCTTATATGAAGACCTGGGTTGGTATTGCATTTGGGCCCCCTGGGGTCAAGGTCAAGGTCACCGTTACTAAAAATAGAAAAATGGTTTCCGGACAATAACTTGACTTAGGAATGAGATACTGTAATCAAACTTGGTGTATAGCAAGCTTATATGAAGACCTGGGTTGGTATTGCATTTGGACCCCTTGGGGTCAAGGTCAAGGTCACCGTTACTAAAAATAGAAAAATGGTTTCCGGACAATAACTTGACTTAGGAATGAGATACTGTAATCAAACTTGGTGTATAGCAAGCTTATATGAAGACCTGGGTTGGTATTGCATTTGGACCCCTTGGGGTCAAGGTCAAGGTCACCGTTACTAAAAATAGAAAAATGGTTTCCGGACAATAACTTGACTTAGGAATGAGATACTGTTATCAAACTTGGTGTATAGCAAGCTTATATGAAGATCTGGGTTGGTATTGCATTTGGACCCCTGGGGGTCAAGGTCAACGTTACTAAAAATATAAAAATGGTTTCCGGACAATAACTTGAGTTAGGAATGAGATATTGTTATCAAACTTGGCGTATAGCAAGCTTATATGAAGACCTGGGTTGGTATTGCATTTGGGCCCCCTGGGGTCAAGGTCACCATTAGGAAAAATAGAAATATGGTTTTCGGACAATAACTAGAGTTAGAAATGAGATATTGTAATCTTATTTGGTGTAAAGGAAGCTTATATGAAGACCTGGGTTGGTATTGCATTTAGACCCCTTGGGGTCAAGGTCACCGTTACAGTGTAACTTAAAATAGAAAAATGGTTTCTGGACAATAACTAGAGTTAGGAATGAGATATTATTATCAAACTTGGGGTATAGCAAGCTTATATGAAGACCTTGGTTTGTATTGCATTTGGGCCCCCTGGGGTCAAGGTCAAGGTCACCGTTAGGAAAAATAGAAAAAATGGTTTTCGGACAATAAGTAGAGTTAGGAATGAGATATTGTAATCTAATTTGGTGTAAAGGAAGCTTATTTGAAGACCTTGGTTGGTATTGCATTTGGACCCCTAGGGTCAAGGTCACCATTACAGTGTTACTTAAAATAGAAAAAATGGTTTCTGGACAATAAGTAGAGTTAGGAATGAGATATTGTAATCAAACTTGGTGTATAGCAAGCTTATTTCAAGACCCCAGTTGCGATTACAATTAATTGAAATATTTCTTTGTACACAGTTGATAGTATGTGTTCAAATCTTTCTTCAGACTACTTTTTTTTTCATAAAGTCAAAGTTGCAGGTGGGGGTATTAATCACCTTCAGTGATAGGTCTAGTTATGATTTAACTTACATAAAACAATATATAACTTTGTGAATACATCCCAAAGCAAATTAAGTATAATTGTTTAATTATACTTATAAAATAAGTAATAAGTAATAGTTAAAAAAACTGTCGTCAAAACAAGTGAAATTATGAACATTTTCTAGTACACTAAACCAAACTTCGAAAATGAGCTAGTAAAATAGAAAAATCAATTTACTCAAAGCTACCATAATATCAGAACATAATATTATGAAGAAAATATACGGATATCAGCAAAATGAAAAGGTTTTGTTCCGTTCTTGCACTTTGTGTCTGTCAGACAGTTTCTATAAATTCATTAATTTGATATTATAACAATATTTTGACCTATAATGTGTCAGTGTGACGTAAAACCTAATTAAACAAACAAATAACAGTATTTGATATTAAGACGTTTTTACTTTAAAGAGTTCAATATGGATATCAACATGATGATTGAATACATGATGATTGTATACATTTAAGTTTTTACTTCAATCACAAATAAGTTTGGGGTATATTGTAATACTTTAAAAGGAAATTCACTCAGGTACAAAAACCTTCAGACACACAATTTGAATTCCGTATATAGATTAGGTTTTGGAACTAAAACCAGAATGGTATGGACAAGAAAATGAAGAAATATGCTCAGAAATATTTTTGGTGTGCTGTTGTAAGCCCGAAAAGTGAAAAGCTTCAATTTTGGGTCATTCGGCAAAAATGAAGTGAGCAAATAATCTGGAAATGTGCACACAAGTTATTGATCTAGACCTACATCAAATGGGACATTTCTCTTGAAAAGTTATTTCAATACCAGTCATGTCAAAAAAAAAACACAAAAAAACTCAGTAGGCATAAGGTTCTCTGGAGAAGAACTGGTAAAATAAATTCTAATATAAGTTTTTTTAGAGTCTGTTTAATTTGTAGATGAATAGTTGAGTAATTTGTCATGCATCTGCATATGCATTATTTACTTTGCCTAAATGTTTAAATTGTTTAAATAAACTCAATGTGCACTTTTTTGCTGTTATTTATTAGATATACATAATTAGACTGTCTTGTAAATAACCAAAGCTAATAAAGTAATAAAATCAGTGATTTTCAAAATTACATATCCGTAATAAAATCACTTGTTTTCTGTAGCACATTATTTTTAAGCACTTAATTAGCTATCAACTTTATTGAACTTCTTGAGACAATTTATACGTGTTATAGTCAATTTAAGGCCATTTCCGACACGTTTTTAAAAAAAAATTATTGATAAGGAAGAATCTTGCAAAAAAGAATATCTCTCCTTTTAATAAAGTAATGTAAGTAACCATTAAAACATTATGAATTTACAATTAAAGGTATCAAATCTTATTTATTTCCATTCACAGCATCAGCCTTTCAAGAGATCAGATTATTTATGGGACAATTGAAAAATCATTAACGAGTCCTTATTAATTTTTTAATATATGAGTGGTCGTAAAACATTCCACATTAGACAACTGAATAGTAAAATTAATATATACTATCAAGAATTTGCCAGTAACACCGACTTTTTCTCTTTTATCAGTTGCATATTTAATAATTTGGATCGTGTAAGTTAATTGTTTAAACCATATTCGATGCAGAACACAAAGACATCTGTACTCGAAATATACTATATCTAAGATTTTGAGATACTATTAATTTTGAAATGCAATAGACTTTTAGCTTTTAAAAAATTTTATTTTTAATTTCTAGAATTTGTGGTTTACAGAGAACAATTTTCAGATAAAATTGTTGGTTAAAAGAGTACACAAAATGTTAAAAAGATTAATTATTGTCAGCTGTGTAAGTAGTGTAAAGAACTAAGAGTGATACTTTTGTATTACACAATTATTATTATCACTTCAGATAGGTTTGATTTTTTCATAAAATGATATATCAACACAAAAGTTTCTTCCTTTACTTTCTTTCTCTCTTTTCTTAGCTACTTACTAGAATAATGGTCACACGAAGCTTTCTTCTTCAACAATTGTCCATCTGGTGTTCGGCGTTTGCTCAATTGGCATTGTTTGGTTGAGGGACAATAATCAAAACTTAGACAAACAAACCCAGTCATATTCCTGCACATATCAGCACATTGTAAATCGCTCAACACATCAACGTACGTGGCATCCATACTATAAACACCCACTCTTTGACTAATCTTAGTGAAATCCACTGAAAGGCGTGCATGATTAATAATGTCGAATTGTAACAATGGCTCTGCTAGAGGTATTTTAGACTGCACATATATCTCTGATTTATTTTTTAATAATAACGACATAAGTAGCCTGTCAATATTTTCGATTTATGCGTCTAATGTAATATAGAAATTTTTGAAAATTATTCCTCATAATTATGAATATCAATATTACCTCAAACAGTTTGACTGTCTGAATCACATGTACTTGTATTTTATAGTCACTTTTGCTGAATTTCTCTAAATTGCTTACACTGAGATAGTTATATTTTACACATGCTATTGAAAAAATTAAGCCTGACCGTATACATTTTCAAACAAGATAACATAAAAAAAAATATTAGTAAGTATTCGATATCGACTGGTACTTATTCAAATGTATAAACCTTACATAAAGATGGAGACTGTTCTACCATAGTGGCAATATAGAATGTATTTGGACCGTCAAAGGAGACCTGGGGATTTTGGAACCTCAGTGGTGATACACCAGTCAATACTGACAGTTGCATCTGAACGTTCTTTATAAACTCAGCAAGATGTGTGTCTAATGTAGGGTGGTAAGACTCTGAAATATATTAATATCTTATAATACGTTAAAAAAGCATCAGTTTAAAATATCTTATCAGTAATTCCAACAAGTAGATGTATTTGACTAACGAATAGTGAACCTTTCTGAAATACATACATACATACATACATATTTTATTTCCCTTTAATATTTGGTGCTTAAGCCGATTTCTTTTTCAATTGTTCAGGTATGTAAACGAATTGTTGTAAATCACATATCAAAATTAATTAAATTAACGAATTTTCGGGACAATCCTTGTAAGTCATGAAGTAGTCCTTGTTACATCCAACATTATGCAATATAACTTAAGGCTAATGCAAACAATAACTTACGGTTAAACTGAAGAAGAATATGTCTCTGTTGATCAGCAGGGAAACATGGCTGAATGTTGAAGTTGGATAAATCTGGATGCTGCTCATTGAAGTCGATTACATCATAATGTATCGTTGACATTGACTGTACAGAAAATCAATCAGTCATTTTAGTTTGGAATAATATTTCTATATCATATAAAAACAATGATTTAATATATAAATAAATGTGTATCATCAAGACCATATCAATATATTTAAAGTGTTCTACAATAGGCAAGTATCATAAAAATTACATGGAATTTATTCTTAGGGTTCTATGTGCTTGAGTTAAATATAACCCTAGCAAATATGTTGATAGGGTTATAGGTGATTTAGTAAGAACATTTATGTAATGAATAATAGTATCTTGAATAATAATATTATGTTCTAGAACAATAAATTACCGGATATATATAAAACATACCGGATCATGTATCTCACACTTACCAATAGCATCAATATATAGCTATTTCATAATTATTTTGTGATTTGTTGTCACATATGATACTAAATACTATCAAAATAAATATTCAAGGTATTACAGACCATCGATTAAGGACAAATTCATCTGATTTTTTTTAAGGTTTTGAATTCCATATATTTAGATATAGAAATAAATTAAAAACATTTATACTTACATCTGTTGATGTTGCAACTAAACTAACAGGTTGCGTAGAGACAGCTTGGCCTGAGTTTTCAGACATTTCTTGCCATGTTTGCTTAAGTTATATACAAATTGGTCATAAGAAAATGTGTTAAAACATTCTGTTTAACTCCTCTTACATATGCATTAACATTAGTTGAAATGGGTAAGACTGATAAAATACTTAAATGAAATCCTAAAATGAAAATACTGGAAGTTTCTACATTACTGGCGATTAATATAAGAACTTTCACATAAACTTGATAAATCCATTGTCTAATGGTGTATAATCATATTTTATTGCAGTTTATGATATACAATTCAAAAGGTTCTAGGCTACATTATATATAATTACATGTATATTGTTCTTTGAAAAAAGAAAAAAACAACAATTTTTTCTTTGCATTTCAATACTTCCATGACATGGAAAGAAAGGAAACTTTTAAACTTTTAATTTTCAAACAACAAGATCACATCATTATTCACGAACTATCAATATTTCACAAAGAAGTTTGCAAATATTTAATCCTTACTGCCATAAAATAGAACTGTACGACTGCTTGTTTGCTCGTACCTTCACCAAAACTGAACTTTCCGACATTTTCGTAAACATCACATAAAATACCTCTTATAGTTTTCTGAAAGTGAGATATGAATGACAATTTAAGATTGAAGAAGGAAACAATATATTTATGCTGAATTCAAAGTATTGTAAACAAAAATAATAATTGAAAACATAAATCGCACTTAATCATATCTGAAAAATTCTATCGACTCAACATATCAGTAACAATCAAAACTGCACATCATTGAGATATTTCTACCATCAGGTAAATTATCAAAATGATGAAGGTTTCAGAAACAAAAAAGAATTTTAAATATTCAACACAGTTTGTGAAAACAATAACACCAATTTGACAATGGAATTGGATGAAAATCTTTCGCTCGGAAAATAAAAAGGCGTGAGATAAGGTAATTGCAACAAATAGTAAGTTATAATAAACATATATAAGAGCGTTAAAGAACTTCACCTGTCCAGCATATACGAAGTTTTGTGAGAGGTCAAATAGTTGTATGGGGTTTTTGATCTGAAGAACATATCCTGTACGATTTATCTGTTTTGATGATGGTGCTTGAACATCGAACGATCTGTCATTAATTGGAGATACCTGACATTTAAGGGTGTTCTTGTTTATAACATAAGCTATACCTGGAATCAAAACATTAACAAATCAACAGTTTTATTATCTCTTAAAATGTTTAGTGTCTCAAACATTATCATTTCAACTAAATTATGCAGGTAAGCTTTGTCACACCCAATAGGGATCCTTTTGTATAGTGTTCAAAAGTTGGATACGAAGCTCAATTCGGGATAACTTATACGAAAAAAAAAATCCTAAATTTTTCTTAACAATACTTAATATGTTGTACTTTTTTGAAGGTCTGAAAGAAACACAAGATATTGATTTAGATAGAATAATATACTAAGATTTTCTGTTCGTCTTCCAACTAAATATTGTCTATCTGTGTCCGTCTCTGTCTTTCTTAGCAAAGTGATATGACATTTTGTGGTTGTTAATTCTGATATTTTCAGGCTTGTGACAAAAAATTGTTATTGTTAAGATGTCCGTATGTTTACCAGTTTGATTTAATTCTATGAAAACTTTGATATATATTCTTTAAAACTTATGATAGCCATGGACCTGATCGAGCAGATAACTTTTACTTTTTAAGATGAAATTCTCTAAGGTGCTTTGTTTGATTAAGCCAAAAGTAAAAACCATGACCGAGACATTTCCGAGAACCACATGACCATAAGGAAACAGCACAACAAGAAATTGTTTCCTTTTATTGTACTCATCCTCCTTTATAACACCATTTTGATCACAATCGCTATATTGGACGTTTAGCATGTTTCTCTCTGTAATGTGCACCCTTATTTATGATGAACAGAGATCAACATTGATACTCTTTACGGAAGAAAATCTAAAGGTTGTGACAAAGCTTTAAGCAGTAGATATGATATGACGGTTATGATGTATGACATTAGATATAATGCGTTTGCAAAATGCTATTTCTCTGCCTACCATCCAGCTATCTTTCTGAAAATCATTCTTGGATATCCGATCAAGCCAAATATAATATATGGGTGGACATTGAAATATTTAGCCATGAGTAAAGTAGGAAGAGACCACATTGATTACACAAAACACGTGACATTTTGACTAAGGAATAATCGTAATCATATAAATTAAATCATCATATGCTTTAAGACTAACTAAACATTTTTGAAGTACCTGAGTTATAATCGTGTATTTTTGAAACAGGACCATTATCAACCAAATCATATCGCACCAGTTTATATTCATAGTCGTACCATATCTGAAATAAATGTTAACTCATTCTGAGATAATAATACTTCACGTTTTTTTGCACAGAATTTTGATGTTAGTCTATTGCAAACATTTTTTATTTTTGAAATTGGATAGAATAAACGAAGAAAATTATTGAAAGATATTATGTTTCCATGACGCTTTGTCTTGAGTACAAATGATATGTATAATAATTCAACTTCTATTTAAACAAGTAACCGACCACGTTATGAAAATGAAGTGATATTAAATCTGTATCATAGACTTTCAGAAAATATATTATAAAGTCTTACATGTGAATTGAATATTGTTTCAGAATACGGTGTTTTTGATTCTAGGTGGTAGGAAAACTGACCCGTGAATTGTGGAACACCCTGGTAATAAAGCCGTCCTGTTGCATAATAAATTTTAAATGGTAATTTAAAAACGGTTCAAGTTTTATTTATCGTTTTATGTGCATCATATTAGAGAGTGGTTGATAAACTAAAGAATATTTGTATTAATTATCAGCGGCAATGAGTTATAGTAAACTGATAAAAAGCTATTGCATTTTTATAATGGTTTTTACCTTTTACTGATGAAGTTTTTACTTTAACATAAAATACGTACACTATGAAATCATTCATTATTGTTGGAACAATGTTAAGGACATGACAAAGAAAGAAATGAATATACTTGCCGTACGATATTGATATGTCGACTGCAGTAAAGTATATCTACAAAGTACAAATCTATAAGTATAAAGCAACAGTGCATATTTTAACATGCTTTGTCCTTCTAAAATATAATAATCGTACTTGACCAATGATAACATACAGTATTTAAAACAATGAGGGCAAACCTTTCGTATTAGGTTAGACCGAGTGCGTTCTTCAGAAAAAAAGAAAATTATACGAAGCACCTCTATCCCCGCCGTCGGTTACCCACGTACGGAATATACATGTATACCGTGGGTAACCAACGATGCTCTAATCCCCTCCCAGCACCGATTAAAACAATATTTAAGCTTCAATATGAACAGTTATAAAATCTATACTTCTGCTATTTCTCGATGTTCAACACATATTTAACAAATGTACACTTACTTAATATCTTTATCAACTGTAGACGACCACAGAGACATAAATATTAATTAACCTTTGTCTCTTAAATTTATCACATTGTCTTCCGGTATCTATTTTTGGTACTGTCATCAACGTCATTGAGATGGAAATTTAAAGTTTATCATTAGACTCTGGTCAGACTGCATGGCTTATCAGTTTCGGTTCATGCAGTATAAGGGTTCAAATAACTAGTGACGTTTTACTTTTGTAGATGGCAATACTGTGATATATATACAATTATAACTACATCAATATTTGTCGAAAAAGTAAATAAATAATTTGTTTCCTAGAACAACTTACAGGAGTTTTCAAGTATGGTAGAAATGTCTGTATCTGTAACTGACCTCCGTATACAGCAGTCCTTAAACTCTTGTAGGCGGCTTCAAACTCTACTTCTGTCATAGAATGACCATCGACGGTTCCTTTGTGCAGGTACAAAATAAAATATATTAATAGATAGATATATATATATTTTTAATAAATCAGACAAAATCAATCAATCAATCAATCAATCAATCAATCAATCAACCAACCAACCAATCAATCAATCAATCTGAGACACAGACAGACAACCAGAAAAAAACGAACAAACAAACAACAAATGAACAAAAATAATAACTAAATTGATATATATATATATATCAGAATAAATGGATAAATAATTTGATACAAATACTATTCTTAATGAGCTTTTGGGAAAGTCTTCCTTTTCGATAATTTTGAAAGAAATTCGTTAAGCGAACGTGAAAGCTAGGTAATAGTAGCACTGAATTTTAAATGAATCTGATACATCACTGGTCAATGCTGATACGATCTTTATACATATTATTATGATCGCCGCATATTCTTTGTTTAACCATTTCTAAAGAAATATCTTTGAATTTAATCTTTACTCAAAATTTTACATTTCATTTCTCACATGCATTTTTTCTTTCGATTGTGGACCATTTAACAACAAAACATCATCTACAGAGTATAAATTATGCTTACATTAAATTTCAACGCTTTAACGCTTATGGTTAATTTCAAGACAGTTAGGTCGTAATGTAAGAATTTCTAGAATAAAAAAGTATGATATTATTTTTGTTCCTTTAAACGTAAAGGAACAAAGTAATTTTAGAAAAAAAAACTTACTAGAATAGTGTGTACACAAAACACCATTTGATAGCGTATTTCTTCCATCAGAATGACTTTTACTTAGGCGGCAAGCATGGTTTGAATCAGCACAGAAATCAAAACTGTTGCACGTGAAATTCGTGTTTGCAACACAGTATGCCGCGCACAATGTCGGAGAGGCTACAACACTTGATGGATAACTGAGATCATTCAATGAACGTGAAGTAAAGTTTTGATACATTGTAAACTGTTCTGAAATAAGAAAGGTAGAATAACATTTAGAAATGTGGGTAAATCATAGCAATATTAAAGTAGAAAAGTGTACTTTGCTGTGTACGTTTCAGTTGTCAAATTTTGTCAAAATAAATCGAAAGAAGACCATGTAAAAGGCGATAAAAATAACAAACGCGGAAATACTGAATCAAGTGGTTGTTTTATTGCAAGAATAGCGCTAACGTTTCTCTTTTCGTGTATAAATATCTACAGAAGCCATGTGGGTTCAGGCATTTATTGCGTCCTCGAGTTTCTGCAGATATATTGCACGACAAAAGGTACATTAACCCTCTGATGTGGAATACATTTATGTTAACCTAGTTTCAATATATACCGAGTTGCAACAGAAAGTGTGCGCTTATACGGAATATTACATACTCATCAAACATAATATTGGCATATGTATTGATTATAGATACCGATTATTTTAATGTACAATTCTGCAACGTTCACTTTAAGTTCATAAAAGCAAAATTCTGATGAATATCAATGCAAAGTAAAACGTGGTCAATACATTTCTAAAAAATTTGATACCAAGTATGCTACAAGTTTGCTCAAATAAGTATATGTATGCATAATTTCCAAGTAACTAAATGCAATAAGACAACTGGAGATCTACAAAAGTTCACGGGATTTAGTTTACACATAATTTGTTTTAGTTTGATTGTGTAAGAAGCTATACCCTTTAAGACACCCTCTCGAATACGTTCCTGAAACAAACCAGTACTATGCAATATATGTATGATATGTTTTAATTAAAATATTCTCACTGAGTACAGGAGGCACGTCCAGTAATTTTGCTGCAACGTATACAAACGAATTGTCATAGTTAATGAGTACGTTCTGTACCCTGAGTGGAGATACATTCATTTCAGCCGCCATTTTGCTGTGGGCTTCTCGTATAATCTCATCTCGAAGCCCTGGATTAAACTTCCCTGTAATAAAATATTAAATTTGAAATACATTTTTTTTTGTAATGAAATCTGAAAACGCAGGTAATTTGTGTAATCTTTACTTTCAATTGGAAATAAATAGAATATTGATGCAAAGGAAAACAAAACTTTTATGCAAATAAAATCGTATTGGAAATAAATTACTTCATAAGTAAATAATACCTAATAAAAGAGCTTTAGGAAAGAATACAAGTATAGAACCAAATTATAACCAACATAAGTAGGGACACGGAATAAGTCAGCTTTATTTATTACTATCAAATGTGACGAAAAACTATATTTGTATACCTTCAAATTTGATGCTGAAAGAGACACTGGCATTCTCGGGATAACATGAACTTATGTCAAACAAAGATAAGTCCGGATGGACCTCGCTGAATGCCGTGATGGTCTGGATAATTCTTATACCCAACTGTAAATCATAAATATGTGACAATAACGAAATACATGAACTAAAATGGAAACCATTTTAACCCTTTTATTAACAGTTTAAGCATATTGCTAACTAACAGGGGCTTACATGAAATTGCTTATAGACATGCTATTTATTTATACATGAACTTGCCTATATTAAAATGTTAAAAACATTTTATAGCGTAATCAATGAATCATAAAAAAACAACACATTTTTATATAAAAAAGAATTATATAATATCACACAAGTTCCGACTCTCCACCGCAATACACTCACTGGTACGTGTATATAGTCAGAATAATCAAATTTCATCTTTCCTGAAATTTTGCTTTGGCTAAGAAAGTTAAAACCATTATATTATAATACTTAATATGCATGTATATTTGTTGAGATATTTGTAAATGAAAACTGTATAAATTATATTTGATATCTAAAAGGAGCGTTTGTCAAAAAGGGTTTAGGGCAAAATCTCTGTAGTTGTTATTGTTTTATGGTGCTTTTGTGTTTGTGTTTCTATATATTCTTTAGAAGGCCACATTTAGAAATAAGATATGTTACTTGTTTTCTACGATGTGTTACCTTCTTTAAATAAAGATATTATTATTATTATTATTATATTATTATTATTAATAACAACAATTATATGATTTATATTGTTAATAATTTACCGTTTCATTTGTAATGGTCAGCTGTAAGGGTATATTGTGAGAGACAACTGGATCGTCATCAGGATAGAAGTCAAAACCATCCTGTAAAGAACAAACACTTTTATCAAAATAAGGTATCTGTTACAGTAGCACCCCAATAAACGTCCCTTTTAATGAAGCAACTTTAACGTTTACACTTTTCACAATCATATCTTTAAGATATGCACACACTAGGGATAACCTATTTTCCAGCTTTTTTTAACCTCTTGAAACTTATTATGAAAATTAATAGTGCAATAGACAGGACTCAATTATAAGAATCAATAGGAAGTCTCACACTATCTTATCAATTAGAAAAAAATGCACTCACTAAAGTTCTATCATTTCATTTCAATGTTATTAGTTGTAAATATAATGCCAGGTTATATAGCACTATGTAAACGGTTGTGTGCATATGTCACACAAGCTTTCAATCAAGAACATTTATAATGAATCTATAATACAGTGAACTTCCTTTATTTGAGAAAAAAATATATAAATTACTTCATAAATTGACAGCAGTTTTTAATGATTTTTTTATCATAATTATCCAATGGAAACGACGTTACAAACGTGCAGCATTATAAACAAGTATATGCATTTGTTAAACAATGCAGCCAGTACTGGTTTGCGAGTCGTTATGTGAGCAAAAAAAGCCACAACAATAATATATCGGTATCACATATTTCATTTTAAGTTATATTTTTGTATCCAAATGATATATGAAAGTTACGGGTATTTTGTATATAAGAAACATTCCCTTACCACAAGAGTATAATATTCATAGGTAGCCATTATACCACCGCCGAGTGGTCTTATACCCGTGAACACGTTACAAGATAGTCCTCGTACAGTTCTCTAAATTATAGATAAAACATGATGAAACTTTAAAAAAACAATAGTAATATCTCAAATTTTACACTGTATATCAAGAATTTAAAATAACATTACTAGTAACATTAACAAAAGAGGATTTAGGCTCGTGCTTCTGCATATGTTAATTGACGAAAAAAGGTGAATAGCGCTATTATTTGTAAAAAGTATACGCCTGATATGACTCGGTAATTCCCCGTTTCGTTAAAAGAAACCGGTTTCGACATGTTTTTCACGTACTTGTACGATGTCATTTGACAAAATCGCAACGTCTTCGGTTCGGCTATTATCTATGATAACCTTATCCGAAGACTGACGGAAAGGGCCGAAAAGTTCCCATTGCATTTGACACTATCGGGGCCGTTATCGCAGTCAGTGTAGTTAGCTCGTTTTAATTAGAAAAAAGAAAAAAAAACAAAAACAAAAAACACCAAAAACACACACGCAGCAACGGCGCTTGACCACAAGATTTAACCGCTTATGCATGTTTTTTCTCCATTTATGTTAACCTCCGTGCGCTGTGTTTCTGCAAGAATTACCGATAATGCCAAAAAAAATTCTGAAAGAAATCGATCTATTTATAGAAAAGAAATATCGAACAAAACATGTAAAAGTATAAATAATAAATATAATATGAATCCAGCTACTTTTCGCCAGACCACTGAAGTCCGTGCCAATATCATAATAATTATTATCTAAAGACCCGCTGAGAAGTATATAAATAGGGAAGAAACACATCTATGTAAGTAAAATTTTCTTTCTTAATTGCATGCTGCTACTTTTGATCTTAAACAAAATCTACGCAATTATACACTTGTATACATCACAGATAACACACCTTTCCTATGTATGTGAAATTACCATCCAAACCGAGAATTTCTCTTGGTCCTTTTAATGTTAATGCAAACCAGAGATTGTCCATTCCAGCAGCCGTTTGATTGAAATCTGACGTCATTTCTGTTTCAGATATACCAGTCACATGACAGTTGCCTTTGACTTTGTCTACTATGTAAGCAATACCTGTAATGGAAAGACAGGATAAAGTGATTTTGTATATCAACTGTGAAACTTTTACCGTCATATTTTTAATATAACTTATAACGTCATGATGCACTGTCGTTTGCAAAAGAGTAGTCAACGTATTGTGCTTATTTTTGAATCTGTAACTATAAAACTTTGTTTGTTCGTGCTTAGAAATCTAAAATATTCTAATTTCTGGAATATGTCTATCACATTGCTACTGATTATGTGAGCAATTATTGATATCAAACGCATACTTGGTTATTTTTTTTTTTTTCTCTGATAATTATTTCTAAGATATGATAAAACGTAGGTGGCCTATTAGAAAGTCGTCAACGTGTTTAAAGTGAATTTACAGTGTCATACCATAATTGTAATCGTCTATTATAGATACAAGCGTGTTTTGAGCTAACCCTGCACGTGCTACTGGTAGCCTCATGTCACTCCTAACTATGTTCTTTGTTCTGTCATACCAGACCTGATAGTGATTTGAAAAAAAGAAAATATCTTAGTGCATTGATATCGTTACAAACTCATAAATGTATAGATATAGTTTTAAGATATTACAAGATATATTTAAGATATATTAAGGGCAATCATTTCGTCAAAATCCATACTAGAGTTATGGGCCTTGTAATGTGACCGCCAGTTACTGGTTTAAATTTTAAGTGAATGCTTCAGTTAAAATTAATCAAAATTCCCTTTTTTGTTAATATAACATGTCAAAATCAAGGAGAGTTATTGAAAAAATTTGACTGTTGTATAAGTATTGGTAACTTCATATTTTTACCAAATTATTAACGTAGCATTGTATAATGTATATATATATTGTCTATTTTAGCCAATTTAAGAGTTTTTCGACCGCTTACCCAAAACCTGCCATCCCCGCTTTTATCGGATCCAGCGTTCACTTCAAAAATTTCTTACTTGTAATAAGTTTGAGGGAAAAACAGCAGGGTACTATCAGACTGGGGAAAACTCAGGGCTTTCGGGTATGGGCCCCCAAACCCATTGTTGGTTTTTTTCTTTACCCTCATATTTTTATTATTCTTTTTGTGTTGGGTTTCAAGTCACACAGATTCTGTAATGGTCATATGTCGACCCTCAGTTTTATTGTAAGACCTCAAGAGCTAATTCGTGCATTATTTAAGGCACGAACGGGCACCTGAGTATAACGAGCGACGTTCCGTTCATTCATTCATCTATTTTCCTGCTTTATTTATCATTTCAATGTTAGAGAAAATCAAGTTGTTTTGTAATTGGTAAAGAATTAAAACATACAATTTAAGTGAAATTACAAAAAAAATTCCCCAAACACACAAACAAGCAAAACAATCCCCAAAAACAACAAGAAGAAGTGAAATGACAAAATATAATAACTTGCTTCAAAAACTGTCAAGTCAGCAATTTCTGTTCTAAAGTCAACATAATCATAGTAATGTTCAACATGTGACACCGCCCCTGTAAAATCTTCAGTCACTCCCTTGACATAAGCTCGAACTGGAATTCTAGGATATGCTATAGCGTCTTTCCATTCTTGAACTGAATTTAAATGTTAAACAGCAAAAGGGATTACAATTTGTACTAGACGTTGTTTATAGTGATTTAAAATGAATATAATATGATACTATTTTGAATAATTTTCACAGTTTAAGAGACTAGTGTTCCATATTCGAACAATTAAACAATAAAGCGCTCAAGACTGTTTATGTACAGAAGATAGTTTGTTAAAAATATTTTGTAAATTCTAGAAATTCTAGTAATTATGACACGTATATTTGCAATATTAAAAGTAAAGATTGAACCTTGTATAATTATGTAAATGGCTAAAAGATTCTAAAGATATTTTATCTATACTCCTGTGCCCAAATATGATTCATTTTACAATATTCCTTTGCATATATTACACAACATACTTACAAACATAACATATATGAAAATATTCTAAATTTAATTTATATTTTCATTTCACAAACTTGAAAATTTGAGTTTGTAATATCCTACCCGTGAAATAGTAGTCTAGGGTAAAGTTGGCTCGAATCTGTGGCCAGTATATACATGATCTCCAATGATCAACGCTGATACCTCGAACTACATCTTTTCCCATGTATTGCTGAAAAATAATACAAAACATTCGTAAAATTGTTGTTATAATTGAACATAAAAATCATTTTTGAAAACAATTGAACAAATTGAATTAACTTTTTTTTCACAATTGTAAATAAATTTCTTTTTCAACAGACCGTGACAATGAAGATTTATATGATAGTAATGGTTTTCTGTCATATTACATAATCGTAACTTTTCGGCCCTTTCCGTCAATCGTGGGATAAGAACGATTATGAGATATCGTCGAGGTGTATTGAGGTAAATATCACGTTGTAACAATCGGTACGCATCGACAATTACTTTAATAATCTCGGAGTTGATGTAATTAAATGTGACTTCAGAAACGAAAATAGACGATGTAACCTTTCATAATGAGTAACGCATGTATTTCTTTTATAAGGTCAATTTCGGTAAAATTTTTATTGAAAATATGTCTTACAAATAGGATGAATTTAAATATTCTGTATGTTGTAATTAAGGTTGTTACCATTTCTTTCGAGTTTATTTATTTATACTCGCCACCGGTTGCCCATATTTTCGAGTCCTCCAGAAGAGTATTAGTCATTTTTATATTTTTGGATGATAGTGCAAGTAACAGGTACAGACAGATGCCCCAATTCCAGAAGCTTCTCCTAGTTCTTTTACGTACCAAGTGTTTTAGCACTAATACACGGAACCTCGATTTAAGGTCTCATCCGAAAGACTGAGTAGTAATTTTAATTGGCCAGCCCGGGAATCGAAACGACAATGTGGAGATTATCAGTCTCGCGCTCTGACCGATTGAGCTATGCGGGCTGGCATAATTGTTTCCACACTTAAGTGACATTTTATATATGTAAATAATTATGCTTCTAAAACAATTTTCAAACATCGAAGAAGATGCAAGAAAACTATATTCGCTTCAAAGTCTGATATGTATCATTTGATCTCTACACTCACCATAGTAAAATAATATCGGAATTTTTGTTATATTTCTTTTAAGCCAATGCGATTGAAAGCTTACAGCGGACCGGAGGAACTATTTTGTTTGAATATCAGTCTACTGACAGAAGGTTAAAGATTTGTAGAAAAAACCAGTACGTGATCGAACAGTCTGTGAATCTTGAGCATTCCTTAAGGGATATCGATTATCGGAGCCAACCGAAGAATAGACAATATCTGAAAGACATTCTGGGTGAGATTATTTTACCTTTTGTTAAAAAAATAAGTTTGTGTTTGTATCGCCTTTTCTCTAAAGTTTCCAAACCGATTTCGGACATACGGATCAAATGAGTCGAGGTTTGATGTTGCCGAAGCATCATACTTGATAAATATATTAATATTGGTTATATAGTACTATCAAAAAAGTATTAAATCCATTGTTAAATTGCGGTTATTTATTCTTGCATAGAGTGCAAAAGAATTTTGTTATTTTTGTACAATAAGGATTTGGTATGGATTTAAGGACTTTTAACATGAAACGCGAGGTTAGATATAGCACTATGTGTACTAATTTTTTTTGTTTCTGAAAATTAAAACGAATCTGTGGTACAATATGCATTTAATATGGATTATTTTGGACTCTGGAAATGAAAACGTGACTAAAATGATCTGATACACTGGAAGTCCATGGGCTACGTTTTATAGTGTATGAATTTAATATATCCATATTCATTTTTACCTGTCCAGATGATTTTAGAAAATGTAGGGCTCCTCTAGAGTTAAGAATATGAGGAGGAATTCCACCTTTTGAAAAACTGCCAAAATACACGTCTGTTGGATCCGTGGTGAGATTCTTTACTTGACATGAATTTCCTGCAGACAAAGAAATTGTAACATAACATTTGTCAAATTCTATTCATAAGATTCCCCAAGAAATAAAGGCAGATTACATGGATAAAATAGATAATTTAGGCTAGCTTTACATAGTACCGATTAATTGTTTTCGAAGATGGCGACATCTGACTATTGTCAGTACAAAATGAACAATTTCATTGACATTTCAAGAATTTCTTTATTTTATCAAATAATATTGTATACATAAATAGTTCAAAGTAACATTGACTCTCTTGATCTGCCGTTAAAAAGACATGTGCTGCCTTTAAAAAATGGTTAAACTGGGCTTTCCGGCCTCTTAAGTAGTAAGGAGATGTGATATCTATTAATGGAAGAAAGGAATATATCCAACCAACTGACGGAACGCCGGATGCTCTATTTAAGAGCCCGCCGGTGCCTGAAATAATGCACGGACGAACACGGCCATCAGAGGTCTTACTCCACCAGTAAAGCTGGAAACTCGCCGTATGACTTTAACAGTGTCGATGCCATTTAAAACGCAACAAAAATCTATTATGATTTTTTACTATCAATTTATTAATATCTTACCATTAATGAATGTTAATTGATTATTTGTATAATCAAATAATGATATATTGTCTGTATTATTTTTATTTGCTCTCATCGCCGCTCGGTTACCAGGATTGTCAAAATATTCATACGCAGTTATTGTGTATCCTTTGATGACGAAATTCGCCTCTATTGTCGTCTGGAACTGATCTGGCAGGTCCGGTAATGTAGGATCTAAATAAACAAATGATGGGGTAAGAAATTGGTCATGGAGCTAAGTTATATCACACTTTAGATATACATCTATATCAAAGCTATTGTCATAGATTGTGTGCACATTCCTCGATTGTAGCGATTTATACACAGTACAGTGCAACTTGTACAGAACAGCCCTTTTAGAGCAATTACCGCTTTAATTTTTCCCAAAGTAAGACTTTAAGATAAATTAAACTAAATAAATTAAAACTTCTCTGGAGCAACACCTCTCAACAACAAAGCACAATTCTTAACTGTTCTGCAGAGATTGTACTATATTTATTATCAATAATTACTGTAAGTAACATAAAGTTAAAAGATGCAAAATTTTTTAATTAACATAAGTTATCTATCAAGACAGTAAGGGGAGCGGTGGCCTAGTGGTTAAAGTGTCTGCCTCTCAACCCAGAAATCATGTTTCTTCATATGACACCAGTACTGGTTGGTTCCAGGAAGCGGACTCGAAAGTGATTAATATAAGTTGCAAGAACTTGTTTCGCAATCGAGCTTAAATAAATATGTTTAAACCAAGACAGTCAATCATATAGCAAACACTGGTAAAGTATCACAATATCTCGAATTCTCAACATCATCGCAGCGCACTTACCGTTCGGACTTGCTGTACCGGTGAATTTCGTGCAGTAAGGTGTTTGTTGTCCATACACAGTATATATGAGGAAGACAAATATTCCAGTCTATAAATAAATGGTGAAGATAAAAGCCAGAAATATAGATAAAAATTACAAAATACAGAAATTAAAGATTTTTTTTTCAGAATATCATAATGCTACATTTCTTCCCGTTCTTTGTTTGTTTTTTGTTTGTTATCAATATTGGAAATAAACTATGGGAAATGTGCCCATTCACTGTAGACCAAACCCCTTTAAACGGACATAAGTCCGAATATTCTTTTTCCCAATTATCTGCTATTTTTGGTTGGATTGAAAAGAAATGTCAAATTTAGCATTTAGATTTTCAGGATGATCTTTAAGTCAAACAAATATCATTGTTTAAGATATATTAAGACAGTAAAATATGTGAAATAAAAAAAAATGAAAAGTTATTTGAAGAAAAAGAAGTAAAAAAAGGAAAGTAAAGCAAAATATCATTTTTGGGAATGAAAAAAAAACAACAACTTTATAAATAGAGGAACAATTCACTACTATAATTACTATTCGTTAGGACATAGAAAAAGTCGAATTTAGAGACATTTTAATAATGTTGCATGATGATAACACAGATAAAACTAGTTTGATAATGTATCTCACTATGCGCCATCTTTGTTTTATATTTAGCAATCGTTAGTGGTTTAACGTGTGATGATCTATTTTTAGTTTTCGAACGATAAACTGGAAGTGATAACCGATATAACATCTTAGTTATAGTTTAAAGAAACAAGGTAGGTCATTTACATAAAGCATCTTTCCAAATTGAATCGCTTCCTTTAGAGCAATTTATAATAATGACGCTTAAAATCAGTTGTTTTATGTTAATCCGCCTTTAGTGGTGTTGAACAAACCCAGCTGGCTCTTTCATACGACACTATGAAACAAAATTCACTTTTTACTACCCATCTATCTTGTGGAACGTCGGTGGTTCTACTCAGGTGCCCGTTTGTGCCTGAAATTACGCACGGAGTGACACCTTTAGGTCACCATTGAAAAGTCACCTAATGGCCTTAACAGTGTGTTAATGTGATGTAAAATCTAATAAAATGTGTTGGTGGGTCTGGGGTTAATTCTACAAATTCAAGGAAACAAAGAAAAACAAAAATTGTCCCTTTTATGCTAAAAGGGTTTTTTGAAGAAAAAAAATTTTGTTTTAATAAAAACCAGCAATTTTTTAAAATCAGGAATGTAGATTTTCTTTTCTTATATATTTAATTTTGCGTACCTGATTCCTTTTACTTTGAACAAACTGCAAGTCTTTATCTTTGAGTATACTTTTAATTGCACTCCAATGATATGCTCAAGTATGGGTGGTCTTTAATTATACAATTATGTTAAATAGATCTAACACTAAACTAAAATCCATTTAAAAATGAATTCTTAGTCGTTTTTATACCTCAAATCGAACAGGAATGTATAGATTATAAATAAATACTGTTTAAACTAAACTTACATGTATTAAAGTTCAAGTTAAAAAAAAAAATCTATATTGCTCTTAACATAATACAGTTCTTTTAGCAACAACATATGAACAAAGAAAGTACCATATAAGTTTTATTAACAGAGCATTTTCATATTAAAGGAGCCCCACTGAAGTAAAAAAGCCTTAGAACATCAGTTTGAAATTCACTCATGAATACTTTCAGTGAAGCACTTAAACGGAAAATTCTGCAAAGGATAATGAATAAATATGCCCGGAATTAAGTTGAATATCTATTTGGGTCATTCATAGCCCAATTTGTGTGAAAAGCGATATCATTTTTGAGCCATTTTGCACATTAAAAAAAAGATGATTCTGAAAAAAAAGAAGCGTCGTGGTTATAATCTAAATATTTGAGTTATTGTTCAGACCTACATCAAATGATACACAAATCTCGGAATCCCGTCATGTCCATAAACCTCAGTGGTGTCCCTTTAAATTTGTTTTAATCAGTGTTTTTCCCTTCAACATATAAATGCACCATAGAGAAGACTTTTAAAAATAAAGTTTCTGGCCCCATGCTTCAGTTACGCCGTGTTTTTTATAATAGTCTAAAATTCAAATATAAAATAAAAACAAAGAAGTATCTTACAAATTGATACATTTTAATCCAATTATCCACGAAAGTTTATTCCAAAATTGTACACAAAATTGTTATTTCAACAATATTCTGTTATAATACAGTCGTTTTTCATACACACGTGAATTTAAAAGTATGATATAACTTCTGATAATTATTATCGTAAACTACCCACCATTGATAGTGAAATTTAGTAAGCTTCACAACACTATATGAATATTATATAAATAAGTTTATATATTTACGTACGTACATTTTGGGGATAGCCTTTGTCTCCTTATAAAGGAACGTGATCACAATAAGTTCTGATTTATTTATGCCGATTTTATCATAAAATATTTAAAAATAGTATCAACAATAGGAGAGAGTAGACCTCCTTGACAGTTGCTTAGCACTTCAGCTTTTAGCGTTGCTATAATTTCCGGATGCCAATACGCTATGGTTGAATTTTAACCGCTGCTAGTGAGTGAAAAATGTTGCGCCAAAATAACATTTCTACGACTTTCGTACAGAAGAAAATGAACTATGTTTTCTTTAGTTTTTGTTACAGTTTGACAAATGAAATTGTAACAGTGAATCAATCTTGACAATCTTTGTATAAACTGTATGCAGTTATCTTTGTTATACAGTATATCAAGCTTATCACCATATCGTTCATGATTTTGTTTCTCTATCAGCTGTAAAGTGGTTCAACTTTAGGATTTGAACTGATAAAAATTCACATATTAATATGCATATCACATTTGCATCACCATCATTAATTTTATATAATCTGCTTAATTGAACAACTTATCATTCAGTGGCTTTTATGTGTTTGTGAATATACACTCGTATATGTCTGGTTTGGGTATATTACATAACACGTTATTGGCCTGAAAAGGTGATAGTTGTGCACACCTGCCGCAGAATCGCTTTTATGTTGTTTGAAAGCAATTGTATACACCCAGATTTAGTAATCTTTTTTTGCTACCTAGATTGTATATGATATACATTTACCAATATCTGTTTTAATAATTCAAAATATCAATACCAAAATAATCTGCACAATTCTTAAAATTTCTGATTCATTGAGATGCTACGGAGGAGCATTAGTCCCAGGTGTATATTTTTTATTAACTCGAAATTTCGACTTACTAACTCGAAATTTTGACTTACTTATCTCGAAATTTCGACTTACTTACTCGAAATTTCGACTTAATTACTATTACTAGAATGGCCAAATTTGTTTTGATGTTCTTTCTCTTTTGTATCATAGTAAAGCATAAAAACACGTTCCCTGTTGTCACAATATGAAACCCCAGAAAAAAGTAGCCAATGAACGAGCATCTGAATATAAAATTTCTGTCTTTTTCCCTTTCTCTGCAGTCACAATAAGTAAACCCCATCAAAAATGAGCCAATAAATGGGCATGTTCTTGAGTGCGGGTAACTAATACCTGCACTCCAGTTAACGCACTGTGCATGTGAATGTATACGATTTAACTGTTTTCAACAGACAGGTCTTAAATTTTGGTAACAATGCTGTACCAGGTTTTGCATGCAGACGCTTTCATAATACATGTGTATGAATTTGAAATGTCATGAAATCTAAAAAAATAAACAAACTGAACGGGAAGGGTGGCTGGGCGTTTGAGCCCTTAGGCTAAATCTTATGCATTTTTGGTGGGGGTCTTTACTACACGTTCACCTTTCTAAAATATGTGACTTAATATTTCGAAGTTTTTATTTTCTTTTTTTCATTTACCATGAGCATGTGCAAATAAGATATTTGTCAAGTGGCCAGCTGCATCTTACGGAAGAGCATTAGTGCCAGGTGTATGTTTTATTAACTCAAAATTTCGAGTTACTTACTCGAAATTTCGACTTACTTATCTCGAAATTTCGAGTTACTTATCTCGATATTTCGACTTACTTATTTCGAAATTTCGAGTTACTTATCTCGCAATTTCGACTTACTAACTAAAATTAAGTGGACACTGAAAGAAATAATGACAGTGTCTTCAATTACCCCCAGATTCGTAGAGAGGATTGTTCATAATATTTCTTGAGAATAGCGCTCCTTTAGTGAAATACAATGGGTCATCATTCGAGTGTTAGATATTTGGTCGGTTCTTGAACAAATATAATAGTACTTCAGGATCTGTTGTGAAACGTCTAGTAAAACGTCAGGGTACTGAAACTAACTGTCCTGAGTGTTTTGTAACCATCAAGTTAAAACAAAATCATAAAAGTCATTTTATAATAAAAATAATGAAATTCAAAAAATCTTCAAAACAGTTAGAAACTGAACATTGTAATGTAAAAAGTCAATTTGACCATATTGAAAGTCAAGGACAAAACAAATTGTTTCCCAAGTTTAAAGGTCAAAGTTTAAATTGCGTAAACTCTGTTAATAAAACCTCGGAGTTGACAAAATCTAAGATAAATTTGTTGAGTTATTGGACTCATGAAGAATTAATCAATTTTCAAAAAAGTGATTTAGCAATTAAGGAACTGATTATACTGAAAAAAGTTCATTCTGATAAACCTGTTTAGTCACTATTGTCAGTTGCTGACTCTGATTTGATAAAATTATGGCAGAATTGGGAAATATTGGAAGTATATATTGACATGTTGTATTGTAAAAAAAACTGATCTTATTGGGCAGAGATCTTTAAAAAAAGTAGAGCCTGAAGAGATAAGGGAATACTTTTTTGAACATATGCAGGTCATTTGGGAAGGAATAGAACTATTTAAGCAATTAAGCGCCGTTTCTTTTGGTCCGGCATGAATAATGACATTGTTCAGCACGACATTATTGTTGTGCTTGTGGTATTTTTAGTTTCAACTTTTCGGCATTTTCTAGTTGGGTGGTTCCAATATTCCTACTTGAATAATGTTGAATCACCCTTAGGATATGTTGCCTGCTTTTTAAATTTGTCTTTTGACGTCTTATCTGTGATATGCAGGCTTCATAACCTCTGATCCCCTTTCAAAATTCCATTTTATTTAGTTCCGCCCATTGTTTTCTCGTTTAGGGCACACGCTTTTTATTACTTGGGGACCATACGCCGCTTTTCATGGAATGGCACGGTAGTTCCATGATAACCGCCGTATGAACACATCTGCGGATGTTTCTAAATTCAAAATTTTACCATTTCATGTTTAAATGTTGAATTCTGCTTAAGCCGGTGCTAGGGGGCGTGGACGGTAAATTGCACTTTCCAGTACCGTCCATGAACAGGCTCAATCAAACCGAGCCTGCAACATTTTCAATTTTGTCGTGTTGGGCTTTCTTTAGGGATTCTGTATTTATCTATTTTGCATTATGGGTGCGTCAATGTGACCTTTGTGCACCATGCAAACCTGGTCCCGGAAAGGGTAAACCAGAACGTAGTCAGATTCGAGCTCATAGACCGATGGAGATATTAGCAGTAGATATTTTAGGTCCATTGCCACTGACAAAGAATAGTAATGAATATATAATAGTCTGTGGTTGCTTTTTCACCAAGTGGAAGATGGCCTTTGCAGTACCTAATCAAACTTCATACCCAGTTGCAGATATCCTTTAATACAACATTTTTCTACAGTTTGGATTTCGTTCCCAATTACACACTGACCAATGGACAAATTTTGAGTCCCAGTTATTTTCGGCTTTGTACAAAATCTTACAAATTGAGGTCACGCACATGTCCACATACCACATAACCCAAAATCGGATAGGATGGTGGAAAGATGTAATAAAACATTGATACAGATGCTGACTAATTTTGTTTCATCTGAAGAAAATTATAGGGATTGGGGTGAACATCTTCAATTTGTTATGGCAGCTTATAGGGCTACTGAACACTAAAGTATATGTTGTACACCAAACTTACATATGCTGGGTAGAAATATTGAATAAATATTGACTTAATGGTAGGTCCTCCCCCAGGTCAAAATGCCAACTAATGTCCTATATAATATGTTGAATGGTTTAAATCTTCAACAAGAAAAGCATTTTTGTTTGCAAATGATCAATTGGGATGCATATCAGCAACAAGACAAAGGCGTTATTATGATAGGGGCCTTAAACCTAGAGAATTTAGTTCTGGTGACTGGGTCTGGAGGTGGTACCCTTCCATTACAAATAAGAAATTAGCTTTGGGATGGAAAGGTCCATAGAAAAATTAATCTACTTAACTTAGAGGATTCAATAATCCAAAGACTCAAATCACATCGTTGTACATATTGATCACCCTAAGTCATATGAAGGTAGTTAAGTGACAAGGAACTGGTTGAGTAACCGCCCTACCATTGATACCAATATAAACATATGTAACGATGCCACTGATTTGGCACATAATGTAAATTATGATAAGGGTGATGTCATAAATGATGACACGACAGTTACTGTACCTTTTGTCCCCAGAACTAGAAGGGAACGAATTGTAAAACCTAGGCAAATATATAGTCCTAGTTAAAAGTTCAGATGTTGTAATGAACAAATATAAAATACCTAATTATTGAATATAAAATAAAATTTCAATGTTGAAAATTTGTTAAATTTAATTTGTTAATTTAAGTGACCTTATACAGTGTGAAAATATGTTTTTTAAATACTTTATAAAATATAAAGTTTAAAATAATTTTGATATGAAATAAAGTTTTAAGTAACTAACCATGCACATGTCATGTTAAAATATGTAATGATTAAAATAATATTTGTTTGAATTATAGTTTAAACTCGTAAGCGATAATGAAATCATAAGTATGTAAATTGTAAATATTTAGATAAAGGGAAGTAGTAACAATACTTAATAACATAGTAACAATTAAGCTATGCTTAATGAGACTAAGTCCATTAGACCACTGTGGCCGACGGAGGATAGGGCGTGCCCAGTTCCAGGCTGTGAGCCGAACAGAATTTTTAGCAGATATGATAGATTCTCTGAGCACTTGGCAAGATTCCACCACCCTATCATCACCACTTTCCAATGTATAAACTGTAACAGAACTTTCCAGAGGGCAACTGACGGAAGGCAACATTCCCGTCAGTTTGGCTAAAGACACTCTTGTGAACTAAAAAGAGTAGTCAATGTGAATTTCAGAAGGACGGGAAATATATCCTACAGCTGAGGAGAGGAGTGAGTACCAGCAAAAGGAGAAGGATAAGAAAGA